AGCAATTCCACTTTTAAGTATTCCAATTAAAAAAAAACAAAACAGTGTTTGCAGCTGCCACTGCACTGTCATCGGGCTGCCTCCACTGACTGAGCTCCAGCCCAAGGAGAAGGAGGGTAACCAAGGTCTCTCTACCACGGTTGGTACAAAGGGGACTGCCCACAAATTCACCAGCGGTAAAACACAGAGGAAGCAACTGGCTACAAAAGCCGCTGGCAAGAGTGCACCCTCTACTGGAGGAGTGAAGAAACCTCATCATTACAGGCCTGGAACCGTGGCACTCCAGGGAAATCAGATATCAGAAGTCCACTGAACTTCTGATTCTCCAACTTTCTTTCCAGTGTCTGCAGCAAGAAATTGCTCAGAACTTCAAAAACATCTGTGCTTCCAGAGTGCAGCTACTGAGTGCTTTGTGAGAGATCTAGTTGGCCTTTTTCAAGACATCAACCTTTGTGCTATACATACCAAGTGTGTAACAATTATACCAAAAGCCAGCCAGCTAGCACACTGCACATGTGCAGAATGTGGAGAACACAGAACGTACTTAAGAATCCACAATGATGGGAGACATTTCATTCTTTAAAAAAAATTCTCTTCTTCCTGTTATTGGTAGATCTGAACGATAGCTTTCATTCCCCCTTCCCCCACTCCATGGGATCAAAAGGAACTTAAGTATATGATAGTAAGTGGAAAAATAGGGGACAGAAATCAGACATCGGCAGTTTTTCCATTTTTGTTTGTGTGTGAAATTTTAATATATATGCGGGGACATAAAATATTAATGCAAGTCAAAATGTTTCAGTGAACAAGTTTCCAGTTCAACTTTATAAAACTATAAATAAACCTGTTAGATTTTTCTGGACAAAAATAGAATTTGGATTTTTTAAAAAATGAGTAAATTTCTTGTTAATGGCAAAAAAAAAACCCACATAAACCTAAATAAGAATAGTCACTGAGGTATTTTTTTTGTATTAGGAGAAAAAAAAGACAACAATGCAAATATCCAGTAGGGAAGAAGAGACTCCTAGAAGACTGTCTAGACAGAATTCATGGTGATAGTGTCAGAGCCTAGCAACATGCTATCACAGACTAGGTGTTCATAAAATGTTTGAGTGAATGAATAAATAAAAATGAAAGAAATGGTGTTACCTCCAAGTGGATGCAGAGTTGAGAAACAGCTTTTGTTACATGGAGAACTAAAACAAAACAGACCAATATCCCTGCCTTTTTAAGATAAATGAGACAAATAAGAAAATTATAGATATATTAAATAGTGATAAGTGCTAAGAGAAATAAAAAGCAGAGAAGGGAGATAGGGAAGGGAGATAGGGAAGTATTGGGGCGGGTTACAATTTTACATTGAATGTCCAGAAAAGGCCTCACATATAAGATAACTGAATAAAGACATGAAAGGAGTGAAAGGGCCAGCAGATAACTGGAGGAAGAACATTCCAGGCAGGGGTAACAGCCAGGGCAAAGATCTGAGATTGAAGTACTGTATGCATGACACATGAATTGCAAGGGGCCAGGAGAGTTAGTGAAGAGTGATGGGAAAGAAGTGGTTTTGGAGCGGGTGGGGAGCGGGATACAGGTCAAGTAGACTTTGGTTTTTATTCTGAGCAAAAAGGCAAGTCCTTAGAAGGTTTTAAACACAGGAATTACATGATCTAACTTGTGTTGTAATAAGATTGCTCTGGCTGCTATGTTGAAAATAGACTGCAAGGATAAAGGGATACTGAATGGTAATCATAAGGTTCTTTGGAAGATCTGGTCAAGGTCCCCACTTTAGGGCTGCTGGGATACTTAAGATTCCTCTAGTGCTTGACCCTCCCTAACCAAATGAAAAACTGGGTATCTAAGATATATGTCTGAACATAGAGATTAAAGAAGAAAATACTCAAAGATCTAGGTTTTTAAACATTAATTCCTGAGATTAAAACCTATTAATCACACACCAAAATAATACCACCATAGGGCTGTGCTTCCTTCTACTCTTGATTCATTCCTTGAGAGAAAGGCAAAGAATGCAGGTACTTCCACACTGATGCTTACAATGGGCCAGCTGCTGCTTTGAGCGCAAGGGATATAAAGACCAACAAGATACAGGCCCTCCCTTAGATATTTACAGTCTAGTCTAGTGAGTGAGATATCTAGACTTAATGTGTTATACAGAAACACAGCAGCACTAGTTAGAACTATAACATGAGCCACAAATGCAAGCCACATATGTAATTTTTAAATTTCTGGTAACCACATTTTTTAAAAGTTAAAAAAAAAAAAGGTAAAATTCATTGTAATAGTATTTTACTCTACCCAATATCTCCAAAATATTATTTAACATGTAACCAACATAAAAAATTGAGATATTTTATGTTCTTTTTCTCCTACTGTTTTTGAAATCCTGTGTGTATCATATACTTAATATCTCGACTAGTCACATTTCAAGTGTTCTGGAGAGCAGTTATGCAGAATAGGCCTTTTTTTTTTTTTTTTTGGAAAACTGAAAATAATTAGAAATTTTTAGGTATAGGACAAAATAGTAGAGGGAGGCTTGGACATTTTCACAGGTAAAAGGAAAAAAGTAAGAGTAAGTATACTAGTAGAGATAACTGATGGGGACTGTGGAGAATGGGATTAAGAGCACAAGTAGTTAGCTTAAAAAATGGATGGTCATACCTTTGTTTGTAACAGGTGAAGGGAAGAATTAAGTATAGCTATAAGCAAGTTCAGTAAGTGTGATTGGTAAAAGAACAGAAAGTTGGGAGAGTTGAAGAAGTGTTCCATTTTGTCTGAATTAGAAGACGATCTTATCAGCCCTTCCACCATTGCCAACACAAATCTGAAGGGACTACATTTATGGTACAATTTAAGAAATGGCATCTTAGTATGACAACATTAAGGTGCATTTTTGTAAAATTACAGTAATTTTCTAGCTTTCTTCTGTACCTGTCAATCTTAAATTTTGTCACTTTAAACACAGAAACACTACTATGGATTCATTCTTTCCTCCTCTATTCAGCAAACAAGTACCCAATGTCTAATATGTGCCAAGTACTATGAGACAGTGAGCATAGAGATGAATAAGGCCCTCACTGACCTACATTTGTAACCTCAGTACTTAGCATATTATGTCTGCACACAGTAAATGCTTTAAAAACATAGCATTGCATTGCTCTATAAATGTTTCAAATCAACTAATACATGTATTGACAAAGACTTTCATTTAAAAGTCTAAAGTAGTGCTGTCCAGTAGAATTTTCTGTGATGAAAATGTTCTACTCTTATTTATCCAACACAGTAGCTAAGTCACATTCATTTTTAATCTAATCTAATTATTTAGAATTTTAATTTTAACAGCCAATGTGGTCATCGACTACCACACAAATCTGAATATTAGAATACAATGAATAGCTATTGGTATTTCCACTATTATGATCAAGGTGTTGTTGACTATAATGAGTTATTACACAAACTATGCTGTTAGAAATGGGTACACTATGGATAATACTAATTGTACCAGAAAAAGATTATAAGAAAATTTTCTTAGTGTAAAATAACTTAAGCATTATGAGCAAAAAAAAAATAAAAGAGAAAGAAAAGAAAAAAGAAAGGATATTTCAATCTTTTCTTTTCACTCTATTCCCCCAAGGGAAAACATTGACCTCACAACCTCCTGATTTTTCTCATCGTGTCAAATAGTGAAAACACTTTGTAGAGATAAGAAGTCAAAGATTTCTTTAATTAGAAAGAAATTACTAGAGCATACAGTTGTTTCTGTAATAAAATGACAATTTTTTTTTTTGGCAAGACAACATAAGTTGTTCAACATCAGAATTCATATAATCAATAAAGTGTTTATAACTCCAAAAACCTGTCCTTGTGATTTGCTTTTCTCAAATTTGCCCCCTTTATCTGAACTTTTAAAATGAACCTATTGCTAAAAAGACATGAGACTCAATCCATTGATCAAATGGAAGTATAATCTAAACTAGACTTTAAGTTGAGTAATTCCTGGTATAGTAACTAAAATAGCTGTTTATGACTGGGATAGTAAAAATATACTTTTATTACTGTTTATCCACTATCCTTAATGTATCAGTTAAGTGACTGTACAATGTTAATCAAAGTCACAAAGGCCTACATTGCCAGAGGTCTTATTACATACTTAGATTTGATAAAAATAAAACCAGTGAAGTGAGCAACTAAATGTCAGAGATAGCATTTTTATGCATAGCAACTTGTTCAACTTGTTAACCACCTGGTAAGGCAGTTGTCTTGTAAATTAAACCACACAACTTCCTGCCCTTCCCTTTAGTTGTGTTCATTTAAAGCCATTTAAAAAAAAACATTACCGTATTGTCGAGCGGTTAAACAACCAAGATTTTATTCAGGTTAACAAAAATACCTAACACTGAGAAGTGCTGTCTTAATCTGCTAGAAAAAGCTTTAAGAGAACCACTTTAGAATGATCTTCCCATCATACAAAAAAAACACCATCAGGTAACTAAGCCTTCTATACATGAAGATTGTCAAATCAAAAGCATAAGATCAGACCTATAATAATTAACTTCCAGATTCGAGTTACTGTGTTATGGCTTAATGCAACAAAGCCAAAGTATTACCACAATATAGTAGTATAACAATATTATTAGCTTGGTTTCCTAATAAGGCATACACCTGGGATATCTGAATTTACAATTAGCTGAACACTGAGAGCCAACATTTGTTTGAGTGGCAGGCAGTTCTAGTTTTATTTATAAGTTTTTTAGACGGACGTCCACTGCAAAATTAATCAACAGAAAGCCGGTTCTGAAACAGCATACTTCCTAAGTCTTAACATTAAAATGCTGTTCCAGAGCAGGGAAAAAGAGTTAACGATGCTTTAGTCTGACAAAAATCGTTTTTGTTTCACTGCCTTTTGAATGAGTAAACAAAACCACTAAATTGTGGAAGAATTTAATTAATGCGATTTAGAAATTAAAGAGCAGCTAGCAACAGACCTCATAGGGACAAGGTTAGGCTTCTTCGGCCAGGAGCAATTTCTGTCCTAATTTGTCACTGCTGCCTCAGCGTTTGTAGTTGCCAGGAGGTAGTAGGAAAGATTTTTCCCTCTGAATTAATTCTGAGAAAGGTAGCGCTTTTGAAATGTCTTAAGTCATCCTCTTCTACGATTCATTTTCTTCTCCAGATATTCCATGGGTTCCAAACCTGTCTCGCTCAAACTGCCTTTAGGAGAACAGGGAAAAGTAAGGTCTACATTTCAAAAGTTTCGCCTGGGGTGGGGTGAGGACAAAGTAGGAAGGAAAATGTAGTCCTTCATAAATGTCGTACACCTTTTCCGAAACTTGACGGGCTGTTGTGATTATTTTCTTTCCCTCACCCAGGCCTTGTAACATTTCTTTCGTTGAGTTTAGACGAGATAAGGTACCCTCCTCGATAATCAAAGCAACAATGAATCGTGACACTAATTGAAAACTGACAAGAGGGAGCTGCAGACAAATTCTTCCCCTCCCCTTCACTCAAAACATGTCCCAAATTGCTAGAGGCAGGAAACGCAAGCCTCTTTCCTCTCCCTCGCCGCGTTTGCTCAGGGGTACGGGACGCCGACCCCGCTCTGGACTCCGCGCCTGACCGCGGCCGCCCAACAGCGGCGAGGAGGAGGGAGGAACCGGGCAGCGCGGGGCAGGAAGCGGCCGCCTCC